AGTTGTCACCATTTTACAAGAAATGATAAAAGAAACTTCTGAGAGAGGGAAAATTCTATAGCATCAGAAGCTCAGATCAACGTGAGTCTGGAGCATCACAGAATGCTTTGATAGGCAAAAGAGAGCATCAGAGAATGACCAGATGAAAGTAGAATAAAAGTTTTTAATTTATAATTTTTCTTGAATTTATCATAAGTTTTTTTTTTTTCAAATGTTAGCAACAATGTAGGATGTGGTGGTGGTGTGTGATTGTGTGTGTGACTCTGTGTGTGTGTGTGTGTGTGTGTGTGTGTGTGCAATGAATTGTAGCAGTGTGATAGGGAATGATAAGTAGAAATTGAGTTTTTTCACTGACAGGCAGTACTGTGTGATTTAAAAATGGACTTAGATTCATTGTAAATAGATATTCCAAACTCTGATGCAACTCGTTTTCAGAGATGCATAATTAATATGCAAGTTCTAAGAAAATGGAACTGTATAAAATACTCAATTACAGACAAAGAAAGCTGAAGAATGATGAAAAGACAAAATAAGGGACAAGTATAAAGAACAGAAAAAAACTTCATAACATGCTAAGTGTTAATCCAGTTATATTAGCAACTATTTTAAATGTGGTTTATCTCGGTAAACTAATTAAAAGACAGAAACCACCAGATCTGATTTTGTTAAAAGACTCAACCATATATCATCTATAAAGGCACCCACTTTAATTATAAAAACACAGATTAAAGGTAAAGGCACAGAGAAATAGGTAAGACGCTAATGTTGTGAAGAAATCAGCAGTCATTTGAATTTCACACAAAACAGGGGCCTCAAAACAAGGAAAACATCGTGGACACAGTGCCTTAGATAATGGCAAAGCAAAAAGCTATAACAAGTCTCAACTTGTAAGCCCTGAAAACAATGCAATGAAATTCATCACATAAGAAGTGATAAAATTGCAGGAAGAAATAGACAAATCTACTGTTTAGTTTAATACTTACGTATTTTTTCTGTTAGTAATCAACAGATCCAGTATGCAGAAATTAGTAAGAATATAGTGGAATAGAAAAATGTTCTCTGTCAAATGGATCTAACTGATGTAGATTTATTACCTCATGCAACCAAAGAAGAATACACACCCCTCTCAAGCACATATGCATTCATCTAGATAGACCACGGTATGGGTCAGAACCAATTCAACAAATTAAAAAGAATAGAAATCATACTAAGTTTGCTCAATGATCATAGTGGAATGAAGTTAGAAAAGCATTACAGAAAATTAGCTGAAATATTAAAAATATTAAGCAATGAAACAACACACTCTAAAGTAACATGGCTCAAAGAAACAATCTCAGAAATTTTTTAACTTTTTTAATTAAATGAAACTTAAAATGCAACATATCAAACTTTGTAGGGTACAACCAAACATATGCAAAAATTCTGTTTAAAAAACAACTTCGTAAACTGAACAAAAATATTTTTAATAAGCATAAACTGCAATCAAATGGAATTTATTCCAGATATGGGAGGCTGATTCAAACACCCATAATCAATTAATGTAATCAAATACATCAAGAGGCTGAAAAATTAATCTAACTCCAAAGGGGCTAGCAAAAGAAAAAAGAAAAGAAAAGCAAAAAGGCACAGAATACCACATCAGTTAGAAAGTGTCTGCATAACAAAGGAAACAACATAGTAAAGAGAAAACCTGTAGAGGGGGAGAAAGTGTTTTTGAACCACAAATCTGAAATAGGTAAATACTCAAAACTATGTAAAGAGTACAGAAAAACTTCAACACCTAAAAATAAATAACTTCATTTAAAAAGAAGTAGAAGACCTAAATGGATATTTATCAAAAGATAACACTCAACTGGAAAACAGGTAAATGAAAAATACGCAATATGACTAATCATTAGGGAAATGCAAATTAAAGTCCTAGTGAAATATCACCTCACATTTGTAGGAATGGCTATTGTCAAAAAGATAAAGGTGATAGAGGTTGCCATGGTTGTTTTACACTATTGGTGGGAAGGTAAAATACTATAGCTATGATGGAAAACACTTAAGAAAGTTCCTCCTAAAATTCAATGTAGAACTATCATATGATGTAGTCTTATGATCTAGCACTGAAAGACTCCTTTTCCATATAAGGAAACCTCCATTTCGCTCTAGTTTGTTGAGATTTTTGCTTCTAGATTTTTGTTTTCATTTTTAATCTGAATGTGTTTGGGTGTGATCTTATTGCTTTTATTATTTATTCATGGTAATAATACTTAAAATCTACTCTCTTAGTAAATTTCAAATCCACAATACAGTGTTATTATCATCATTAAGTTACACAATATAGCTCTTGAAATTAATCTTCCTGTTTACCTGAAATTTTGTAACTTTGAACAAACTCTCTGATTCTGTTTTTTCTTGTACCCTGTTAGCGTTCCTACTCTATTTGGCTTTCAAAGAAGGAAATCCTGAAACTTATAACAACATGGATGAACCTGGAAGACATTAAGTTAAATGAAATAAGCTAGAGACTGAAACAGAAGTACCACAGGATCCAACTTTATTTTTATATTTCAAATATAAAAAATCAAATTCTTAGAAACTTAAGGTAGAAATGGTAAGAGACTATGGGAAAAAAGCGCGTTGGAAAGTTTGGTCAAAGTTACAAAATTTCAGGTAAACAAGAATATTTTAAAAAATCAACAAGCAAAAATCTCAACAAACTAGATCTCTATGGAGGTTTCCTTATTTGGATAAGGAGCATCTATGAAAAGCCTATACCTGACATTATACTAAAGAGTGACAACCTCATCTGTGGTGACGAACATGGTAGTTGCCATGAATAGGCTGTTTGTGTACTGAGAGCTCTAAAAGGTTTGCCATCACTGATGATGCCTTCCCCTAGAGATCAAGAAAAGGTATGACACCTACTCAACAGCACACTTGAAGTACTACCTAGGGCACTAGCACAACAAAAAGATATAAAATATGTATGAATTTGAGAACAAGAAATAAGGTTCTCTCTATTCACAGGTGGTAGGATGATCTTTGCAGAACATTTTAAAAAACAACAAAAGCTGCTAAAACTAGAAAGCAATTATAGCAAACTTGTACTATGCAAAGCTAATATGCAACAGTCACCTGCTTTTCTATCCGCTATCAATGAACAATTGGAATTTGTAGTAAAAGCACAACGTGTACATTAATATAAAACGTGAAATGTTAAGTCATATATCGAAAAATATGTAGATCTATATGCAGTGTTACTAAGATTTATGTTAACGATCTCAGGAAGTACAAAAGTGATAAAAGATGCAGATGTAAGTCAGTGGAGTCATATTCCATGTTGATGGACAGAGAGTGATACTTTAAAGATGCTAGTTTTTCCCAGCTTGATTTCAAGATTTAATTCAATCCCATTGAAAACCTAAGGAAGTTCCTTTTTAAATATCAACAGTGATTTCAAATTTTATGTGAAATGGCAAAATATCCAGTATAGTCAATACAATAATGAAAAGAACAAGGTTTATATACAAACACTACTCGTCTTTGAGATGTACTATAAAGCTACAGAAATCAACAATAGACAGACCAATGGAACAAAATAAACAACCAGAAATAGAGCTATAATAATATATTCAACTGATCTTTGATTGATGAGTAAAGGCAGTTCAATGGAAGAAGGTTAATCTTTTGAACAAATGATGCCAGAAGAAAATCAACACGCATGTAAAATAATGAAATCACATCTCCACAAAATTTAAATCAAAATGTATCAAAAACTTTAATAAAAATTGCAAGCCTACTAAACTTCCAGAAGATAATATAGGAATAAACCCTCGATAATCTAACTTGGCAACTTGGTTGTAAATAAAAACCCCAAAACATGATACATAAAAAAAAAACCGCAATACATAAGGTTTTTTTAAAAATTAAAAACTTTTGCTCTAACAAAATATATTTTTGTTGACACTGAGGATTGGACCCTGGGCTTTTGCACTGAACTTCATGCCAAGCCCTTTTGAAAATACATTTGTAAGCAAAAGAAAAAAATCAAAGCATGGAAGAAAATATTAGTAAATTAAATACCTCATAAAAAATTTTATGCAAAATGTATAGATACTTTAAAAGTCAGAAATAAAAAACAAGTAACCAATTTTAAAATGCGTAAAAGATTTAAACAGATACTCTACAAAAGTTGTAGTTGATAGTTCACATTTTGGTAGCTCTTACCAAGAAAAACAATCTTATTGCACAGCTTAATAATCACACTGCTAAGGATTTATCCAATTGAATTAGAAACATATTCATATAAATCCTAAAGATGAATGTCTATAGAAGATTTATTCACGATTGTAAAAACCAAACAAACAAACGAACAAAAACAACAACAAAAAACCCCAAACCCCAGCTGTGACAGCCCCTCAGTAGATCAATTGTAAATAAACTAGTTACATCATACAGTAAAATATTCTACAATGATAAAGATTAATTATTTATCATGTCCCCAAGAAATACAGAACAACCTTAAATGCATAACATGAAATGAAAGAAGCCTTTCTGGAAAAGTACACACTACTTAATTCTAACTATATAACTTTGTGGAAAAAAATATATATATAAAAGAGAGAAAATAGAAACAAAATAAATGAGGTTTTGCCAAGGTTTCAGGGATTCTAGAGGAGGGATGAACAGACAAACTATGGGGAGTTTTACAGACGTAAAACTATTTTCTATGATACTATAATGAGAGATAAATTATGTACATTGGTCAAAATCTATCAAACTATACAACACAAACAATAAATATTAATATAAATGATAGCCATTGAAAAATGATAATCTATCAATCTTGCTTCACTGACTAACAAATACAGCATATTAATTCAAGATATTAATAATAGAAGCTGTCTAAGGGCCCATGGGGATCTGGGAACACTCTGTACTATCCGCTCAACTTTTCTATAAATCTGGTATTTCGAAGAAAAACAACATATATTTACTCTCTTACAGTTTCTGTGAATCAGGAGTCTGGGAGCAGCTTAGCTGAGTGTTCTGCTCAGGGTCACACACAGCTGCAGTCGACGTGCTGGCTGGACTGTGGTCATATCTGAAGCTCTGGGTCCTCTCCCAAACTTAGATGGATGTTGGCAAAATTCCCTTGTCCCTGTAGAAATGAGGCGAGTTTGCTTCAAGGCCAACAAAAGCGTTTGTCGCTGCCAGTCCTAGTATCTGTCCTCTAGACACTTGTTCAAAGATCTAGCCTGATTAGTCCGAGTCTGGCCAGGATAAACTCTCCTTTTGCTTACTCAAACCTAACTGATAGCTCTTCATCATATTTTCAAAATCCCCTCCCTTTTGTGTAATAGATTAACATAACCGAGGCTGACAATGTATTCTTTTGGCCATATTCTATTAGTTGGAAGCAAATGAGGCGATAGAAAGCAATACTGAGAAAGTATGAAAGGAGAGACAGCTGGTAAAATATTTCTTGGTTTTGGAGGTCGTCACGTGAGCGTAATCTTTATGTGCTAATGTATTCTGAGTCCTCAACAGGCTACATAGATGAGTCACAAAATTTGGTCACTACTGATATAATTGTATTTAGATCTTTCACTTTGTTAATGGTGTAATTTATTAATATAACAACCACTGTTAAAATACAGTGGTGCCTCAGTTCACAAACTTAATTCTCTTCATGATTCTGGTCACAAATCAAATTGGAAAAGAACCAAGTGAAGTTAAATGGTTAGGTTCAATGCTGACCTTATGGGAAAATTTGATTCTGTTGTCATCCAACTTGACTTGTGACCAGAATTATGGAAAGAATTAAGGTTGTGAACCGAGGTACATTGCATATATTTCCTCCATTTTTAAAAATTTATTCTGACTGACTGTTCTCCCATCCTCATGTATAAATATGCAGCTATACTAATTGGTAACTTTATATAAATAATAATGCTTTTAAGGTGTTCTCTGTTCAATTCAAAAGTGTATGTTCGTGAAAGAGACAGTCATAAGGACATATCAGACATAAACCTAAATAACTGGGCTATAGGAATTACACTGGATAAGTTCTATTTTGACAGTATAGAAAGATCAAGTGTCAGTTTGGGTGCAGAAAGAAACTCACCATGACTTATAGGCAATGATAACATGTGTTCTTGAATGTTTTGTTCAGCTATGAAAAATTTGAAATTATGTTTTACTGTTTTTTAATTAAATATATTTTTCCTCTCTTCATTTCAAACAAAATTCTTGTTTAGAGTCTTTGTAGACCTTTTAATGCAAGATTCTTTTAATAGGTGTTATATTTATATTTAACATTTTACTTTTAAAAATAATAATTAATTCTTAAATACATACACAAGTTGAACCAATGCCACATATTATGAACTTACTTTTTCAAAAAAAGTAACATGATGCCCATATTGCAACATATTCACAGTTAAAGCAGTGAAGCATTTCTAACAGAACCCTGAGATTAACAGGCTTTTACTTTTAAATTCCTTAAACTGTAGCAGTATCACAGATGACAACAAATGAAGACTGGAACAGAAATTGGATCTATCTCTTGGTAGTAGAAATCTACAATGAAGCTTACTTTTGAAAGCTACAGAATTTCCTGAATAGAAGATAGATCTCAAAATGGAGAAACTTCGTTTCTTCATATCCCCCAAATCATAACATTCTCCATCTAATTCTCTCTTTTCTGATTTAACCCTCTTATCCTATGCTCACTATCAATGTATGTACAGCCTGTCGAAAATTAAAAAGAGAACATTGTTATGAGCAATTCTGAATTGTGTATCACTGGAATTTTAAATCTGATTATCTTTTATACACTAAAGGCTTTTACTTGTCAACATTTATAAGGAATCTCTGTAAGACATGATGGAATGTCTTTATTTGGTGGTTACATAGCTCATACATGCTTAACTATACCACTGAGGTACACTGTACCTCCCAAAACAGATTGGGACTATATAGCAAGAAAGGAGACTATTATATAATTACTCTTTCCCTGTCTACCAATTAGCTGCTAGTGGCCAATGCTCAGATTCAGTAGATTTAAAAAAAATATATTAATAACTAATGTTTATTAAGTGTCATACAGTTTTCCAGTGGATTAAAGATATTTTATTTAATACTCAGAAAAATCCCTGAGATAATTACTTTTTTACCATTTTAAGAAAATTGAGAAAATTGAGTATTTGAGAGGATAAAAATTTTCTCCATCTGATTTAATAAATCCTGCTCGCTAAGTCTAAGGTAATAAATAGTAGCAATTCAGAATCACAGGACACTTGTTATGTCAGGATCAAGAGTGCATGTTGTAAGAAAGTTCCTGAAATACAACTTTCATAGAGAAAGAAGCATTTAATGACTTTAATATAACAAAAAACACCCTTTCTCCTCACTGGTCTTGTCAGCGAGGCTAATACGTGGTCTTGATAGTTAAACTTCATTGTGTGGGCTTCATTGGCTTTGGAAGCTGTTTAGGACATTACAAAGCAAACTTCTGGATGGGTCACAGAGGCATGACTTATGACCCTGTCCCTCTTTTTGCTGACACTGTTTCCTGACCACCTGAAACTCAAAAACTTTATACCACAATGCCCTTTTGACATGATAGTCCTGTCTTTAATCCAGCTGATGGTGAACTGAATCCTCTAAAACAGTGAGCCATCTGGAACCTCTCCTCCTTTAAATTGTGGGTGTTCAGAAGTTTGCCCCAGTGATTGGAGAGCTAATAAAATGGTAGTCAGATGACAGCTGTAGAGAACACGATAGATCCCACAAATGTTGGCTAACGGATGCACTGATGAATATCCAGCCTTGAATGTAAATTGATTCTATTTCCAGCCCCAGCTGTAGCCCTCACTAATCTCGTGAACTTCTTAAGGTACTTAACCTCCCTGAACTATAAAAATAGAAACATCTATATAAACAAACTGTAAAAATAGAAAAAATAGAAACATCTATAGTTCTCTACAATTCAGCATCCTCATCTACACAAAGCAGGAAACGGTATGTTTTTAGGCTGTTTCAAGTTGCTATGGTTTGGATCTAAATTGCCTCTCAAAGCTTGCATGAAGACTTGATCCCTCATGTACTGTGGTGTTCAGAAATGACTGAATCATTAGGTCTCCTACTTCACCAGTGAGTTAATCTATTGAGGGTATCATAATTTGATGGCATTTTGGGGAGAAATAGTGGAAATAGGAGATGGCACTGGATAGAGGGTGTTGATCAAGGGTCATGACCTTGAAGATTGTGTCTGGTCCCTGGCCCTTTCTCAACTTTACCTTTCTCTTTCTTTCTGCTTTCTAGTTGCCATGAGTCAAGAAGCTTTCCTCTGACGCACCTTCATGCTATGATGTTCTGCCTTACTACAGGTCCACTACAACGGCACCAGATGCCATGTACTGAAACCTCTGAAACCCTGAATCTAAGCAAGCCTTCTTTCTTCTAAATTGTTTATCTCAGGGGTTTGGTCATAATACTGGAAACCTAATGCAGAAAGACTGAAATAATGTATTAAAGAGTGGAGGAGTGCTCATCATAAAATGAATGCCCAGAAAAGGGATCTTAGCCTTCAGTCCTTATAGGTTTAAATTACACATGAGGTGGGCATCTTACCAGAATTTTTTCAGACTCATATTGGAACTTTCTGTATCAATTGGAAAACAAGTGTTTCAGTCACTCACATTGTGATACATCTGAAAACTGACCAATACAGTCTGTCCACTCATCTGTCTGCTCAGACATCTATTTCTTTAAAAGAAATTCATAAGCCATACATTATATACTACGTGGCATTCTGTACACTGGGAGTGCAACAATGAACACATTGAGCAGCTTACTATCTATATTAAACTTAAAATCTACTATACAAACCAGGCTGTAACTGAATAAATGGTAATAAATTTACATTAATGGTGGATAGTAAGATGAAGACAATTTCAAGGATACCACAGATACTATTAAACAATATTTTCTTCATAGAGCCAAAATTTTATCAGGAAATACATAAATTTAAAAAGCAATTATAAAACCTTGTGACAAGTGCTATGGTACTAGTTATATAACGTGCCTTTGGCAGAAGATAACAGAACTGATCAAATCAAACAGGAGTTGGGAATCAGATAGTGCAGTTTCTCATGGTGATATTTAACCATAACAAGATGGAGTAAAGAAATTTAAATAGGGGCTGGGGGTTTAGCTCAGCGGCATAAGCGCCTGCCTTGAAAGCAGGCAGTCGTGAGTTCGATCCCTGGTACCGATAAAAAGGAAAAAGACAAAAAAAAAAAAAAAAAGAAATTTAAATAAAGGAAAACTTGTTTGCAAACTTGGAGGCATATAGCCCGATGCATTTAAGGCACTGAACAAAGTTCGGTACAGGGTTTCAGAAATGATGGAGCAAAACCTGAAGCTGTGGCAAAGAGACGAAGATCCTGGGGGAAAGCAGTTGAATGGATGATTCAAACAATTTCCTTTAAGTTTAAATTAAATTTCCACTTATGGGAGTGGAAATGAGTTAAAATATTATTGCTCCAATGGACATCAAGAGTGAGCATAGTGGGAACAGTTAAGCGAGAAACTTGGAAGAATAAAATATTTGAATCATAAAACGAAATGACAGAGTTTACATCAGAGGTTAAGAAATCAGACATACTAACTAGGTCAGAGTGTTGGGAGCAATGGAATTAGCACCTAAGATAGAGCGGGAAAAACAACGGATTACTGAGGATAAAGAGAGATCAAAGGGCCTGTGGACAACGAACGCTTCTAAGACCAAAGTAGGAACAGACCAGAATTCCATGAACCACTGACAAGATTTTAGTGAATGCAAATGATTGAAAACTTACAGATACTGATTAGATTTGTGCTGCCCAGCACTGTAGCTGGCAATCACATGTTCCATTGAATACTTGAAATGATTCAAATACACCACGGTTAATAAAACGTAGTTGTAACATGAATTTCTCTTGTTTCTATTTGCTCGAGTATGGCTACTAGAAACTTTAAAATTACATAAATGCTTTACAAGTCAGCTTAGACCATGTTATTTTGAATAGCACTTAATAACAGAAGAAATAGAGAGTGCTTTGCCTGAACAAACTGATGCTCAGGATTCAGGGAGGACTTACACATCACATAGCAGTACCTCTGGTGCAATTATTTATGCGCTTTGCTTTCATGGGCTCTTATTACATCATAAACCTGAGGCGAAAGTAAAAGTGCTGATTCTATTGTTATAGGGTTGTGATAAAATGGACATAATTGCTTGTACCAGAACTGATGAATCTTTGAATTTGAATTCGATTTTCATCGACCTATTCTTCCTACCTGTGCACAGAGTTGATCTCTTGCCATGAAGACAAGTTTGCACGCAGCATGTTTTCTCAAGGAACAACAAAATTTGCTGCTCTGACTGTCATTCCTTTCCTCTTGATATTGAACTGTGAACTAAGGCTTGTCCTTTCTTTCTCATTGTGTGCTAAAGATCTACACCTAGAATTGGATTTAAGGAGAACAGACAAAGCCAGATGCTTAAGTTGGATAGAGAAGTTCTCCCAACAATTTAGCTCAGTTTCCTAACCTTCTGTCATTGAAAGGGGCACGTCATAGCCACAGTCAATAAGAAAACAGTGTTTACCCTTGATTTTTTACTCTTTTATCATGTCATCATTCATAAAATCATGTTAAAGAACAAGAACAAATAAAGAGCAGACATGAAAAACTAGAAATGGGTCATTTAAACAAGTGTGTAAAGACAATGTATTGTACCATGGGATATTAAAACATTTCATTATCAAGTAAATAATCAGAGTAATTTTAAAAGCTAGCCATCCAAATAGAAATAAATTTCCAAATCCAGAGTTTTGTTACAGAATCTCTGGGAATAAGGTCAATGAATCTAAATTTTTAGCAAATGATCTACCAAAATGTGAGAATTGCTAGCCTAGTCTTAAACTTTCCATTCCACTATGAAACTAGAGATACAGAAAAATATTAGTGACTTACTCAAGGTCACATGACCAAGTAAATAGCAGAACTTGATTTTAAACATAGGCCTCCTAATTCCTACGTTGGGAATGACATCGCAGCATCTGTGTGCCAGGTACTGATCTCTACTCATGGAGCAATACTTCTGCTCATCTTTTTGAGTCTTTTCAAATTGGTTTTTCACAATGAGCTAGAAGTTTATTTTAAAAACAGACACTCAAAGTTGAAACATACCATGTAAGTAAAGAAGTTTTCCTTCTTCAATGAATCTCCTCTATAATGCTTTCATTACAGTTCATCCTTTCTGTGCACCTCTAAGGATACAGTTCACTAATTCATAAAGCAACCTGTTTCAATTTTACATTGTTCTGAATACTCAAAAGTATCTTTTGTAGTTTAAAGCTGTCTTCTTTAAACATCTACCTAATTATTTTTATATTCTTTAAAAAACCTCACAGAAGAAGTGACTCTTTCTCCAACAGCAACCTTAACTGTTTGGAGATAGTTCTCAGATTCTACAATCCTTTTCTTACTGTCTCAAATGGGGCTTCTTTTCTATAACCTAGATGCTTTACTTCTTCCAAACACCATTTTGTGATAGTTTCCAGAATCTTTAAATCTCAGGGCTCTAAATGAGGCTCAGTGAAAATTTTTGTTTTATTGTACTGTGTTTAAAAAAATTGTGACCCAGGATATAAAATTAGTAGACTACACACAAAAATTGAATTTGCCATAATGTTTATACCAAGGTAGACAAGTAGGCCTGCATGCCTATGATATCAAGCCACCAATCCACCACTCTAGGTATATGTATGTCCCCTAACACCTGGTGTGCTGCTGGTGTCTGTGTTGCTTGCCTAGCTCCCACAGGCATGTGACTGTTAATAGAAGCATACTTCCTGCGCTGGTGCTTCTTTTCAAGTGAACTTCAAACCTCAGATGTAGCTTGCCCAACATGAAAATCAGCGCGAAGATCGCATTTTCTGTTCCAGATATTAACCTCTGCTACAGATAGGTTGCCTCTTACCTGGACTTTGGTGCAGTTTCATGGGAATGCAGTGTCCTGAATCCTGTCTCTGTCTACTTTAAAGTCAGTCGTCAGAGAAACTTCTCAAAAAATAAACTTTGATCACAGTATTCTGCTGCTTGCAAGTCTTGGATTGATCTTAAATTGTTCCTTGGCCTGTAATTCAAAGACCTCACATTTTAAATTTCGCATCGAGTTCTCCACAGGGCTGATCTCTGTTTATCTGTGATTCCCACGAAGGTGGCATATGAACATTATTTTCACTTTAGCAAAATTGCCTGTGTTCCTAAATAAGTCCCTTACACCTACATAGGACTACACCTATGTATGCAAAAGGTAGTTAGTTACTGCTTGCAGTGCAAATCTCCATGGAAAGGAACTTAACAGAACTGTTATTCTGTTATACACACAGTTTCAAATAAGGTATATTTTTTGTTCATATTTAAATGTTTGTTATTTCAGAGTTACTTGCATTTCAAGTTAAAGTGAAACAAATTTTATGAAACCAATACTGTATTCTTCTGAGATCAAAGTGCATTTGTCCTAATTTGAAAGCAGTTATCTTTAAATTAAGTCATTGGAAAGTATCTCAACACATAAATTATGTGTAAATTAAACGACCTACAAAATGGTATGAAAAATAACAGTGAATGAATTTGAGAAATTAGCCAATTATAGATATGTAATATAATGTAGACACTAGTCCCCAAATGAAAAGATAAGTTCCCACATGCATCATCCTTACAAATTAGAAAATAACTTACTGGTCTACGGAAATAATAGACTTTAGTCCTTTTTTGTTGAAAATTTTATGTACTTTACCCACCTTACTAGGATATTTTCATTGGTCCTTCCATGGTCAACATTAGTGGAAATGTAAGCACACAGGATTTGAAGACAACAAATATCAGTGGTATACCTGAAATGACCGAAATCAGATCCTCTAGTAGCAACACTTCGTAGTGGCAAAAATACTGAACATTTTTTGAGTCAAAGCCTGAATTCCAGTCAGTTCCAACGCTGTTATTTCTTATGCAGCAAACTCTTTATTTCCATACTCTCACTTTGTACAAATATATTATGTATGTGGAAAACCAGTACTCAAAAACAAGGATTCATATGCTAAATAATGTTATTTTTATCATAAAGTTTTGTTTTCCTTTTATATATTCATGATAAAAGAGAGTGTTTTGATTAAAATGGGAAAGAACTTAAGAATATAGATCCAGGAGATCTGGGCTTCAATCCAGTTTTTCCATTTACTAACTTTTGTTTACTTAGTGACTGTTATGAGCCCTGATTTTCTCATTTTCTAAATGATGTTGGTGGCACTTATACCACAGGGTTGCTTTGAGAATTAGCAGTGGCTCACCCTGGCTGGTTGTGTGGCTGATGTTAACTCAAACTACAACTGGGGCGATAGAATTTCTTTCAAAGATTTTTAACTCATTTGTGCAACAGCCTTTACTTTAAGTTTCTTTCACTCAACTATCTGGTAAGTAAAAAAATAGTTGGAAAATGTAGTCTCTCTCCAATTACAAATTTGAAATTTTAAATGTGAGCAGGTTGGACTAGGGATCTCCAAGGTTCAGTTTGTCAAAAACTAATTTTGCCACTGGTAAAAATTAAAAGATTCCACTTTTAAGTTAGAATGTCAGGGACATAAATTTAAAGAACACTGCTCTGTTTCATTTATCCCCAAAGAACACTTGAGTGTTGAAACAATACAATTGGATACAGACAATTATGCAATGCACATGGAAATATTTTCTAAGTGACTGATGGACTAATAGTTGATGATTCTGCAATCCAGAAACACAAGCATTCTCATGGGTATTCATGATGTGTTTCAACATTCGTGTGAGATTCTTTCAATAATATGGCAACAATTTAGTTAGAAACTTCACGATATCTGAGATTTTACAGAGTCTGTAGCTAACAAAGTTAGCCTCTATATATGATACAAAATCTGTGGATCGGAGATAAACTCCATTTATGGTACTACAGCAAAAGCTTTATTCAGAGAAATATATTGTCCCTGACTTTTAGAGTTTAAGTTGTCATTGGATGACACATGAAGGTTCAGGCAGTACCCACATATGCAACGCTAGATCACCACAGAGGAAGCCTACACTTAGGAAATGTTCCCATAACATAGGACTGGTGGTGCCAAAGAATGGGGGTATTCTCATATCCAAATCTTTATTCCAAGTAAGCAAATGTCTTTCTGGGAAAGAAATGAGGTCTTTGTCTTTAGTCCCCTCAGTGTCCTCCAGCAAGGAAGACATAAACAGTTTTACCATTCTAGAATATTTCTCCTTATGCTAACACTTACAACTTGACTGCAAAGTCTGTAGAAGCTGAGCCATTAAAAACTAATTATTGTAAATAACTATTTCCTAGCACACCTTTCCATGCATCTTGTATGGTACGCAAAGAGAATTCAAATGTTAAATCTCAAAATAGCACACTTGTGTTTTAGCTCTTTTTTGGAGGTGGGGTATATATACAATATCCAAAGGAAAAAAAGACTAATTTAGGCAATAGTAGGAAAAATATGAATATGGAGAGGCAGCTTGGCATGGTAGAAAACACGGTGACTGGAGGTCAGGAAATAAGTGTTCTAGCTCTGACTTTGACACTATCTCATACTACTTTGACACTATCTCATATCTCTCGACTCAGGTGCTTCTCTCTAGGCTTCATGGTCTTCACAAGTAAAATCAGAATCTGGAAGAGGTTGGGACTAGATCATTTCTAACGTTACCTTCTGACATCACATTCTACTCTACCAGTAAATCAAATCAGTCCACATCATGTTCTAAAAAATGTCAGCTTCAGAGCCATGCGGTGCCTGTTGCATAGATGCTGCTCACTGATAACATACTTTCATAGCAAATGCTGTGAAAGGGAACGTTGAAAATAATCATGTCATGAAAAAGGAAAATAATAAATAAATAAAGTATACTTTGAAAATTTTGATAGTGGGTCTCCATGAAATTGTGTATTTGAATATTTCCAATATCCAGATTAGGATTCTGGATAACTTAATTTGCTAAATGAAATATATGTTTACATTTTAAAATACCAAAATAGTACAAATATAATTGACATCAAATTGTGTTGAATATTAGTTGAACAAAAGATATTTCATGACCATAATAAAGTCAACAATCAAAGTGGTATATTAATGTGGTACTAAAAATTTATCTCATATGACAGAATTTTGAGCTCACTTGCTGTTAGTTTCCCCCTCTGTGGATATGTTTTAGTCCATCACTACTCTCCTAACCACTACATGTTTCATATATGTTTGGTGTCATGAGGGCACAACTAACACATATTAAGCTCTCGATAAGGTTTAAAGCCATTTAATCCTCAGCTACATTGTGATTCTCTTAAAAATAGTTACTGTCTGGTGTCTGGACTCAGTAGTTCATAGTAGGGCAGCTAGCACAATGCCATACCTATGAAAAAGTCAGTATAACTGTTAATAGTGCACATTTGCAGATTTCCACACGTTGCTGAGTGTGCACTGATGTCTAAGATATGTTTTATGGGAGATCCCAATTTACATGCTGATAGATTGATTACCGATTTTAGACAAGGGTCAGAGCAAAGTGTATATATCATATGGATATATCCTGTAGTTACAGTTTAGACAAAGAAATACTCATTTATTGATTCCTTTCAGATATAATAGCATATACTCAAAATTAAAATATAGATTGCAGTAGATCCTGCTAGTCTTAATAATTCAAGTCCTTTAAAAGCCAAGAATAAATGTCAGATGATTTAATGCCTCTGGATAAAATTAAAATGATAAAACTTGATGAAGCAATATCCGATATCACATATGTAAGGTTTGACTTTTAAATAGAGATCAGTAAATGCATTTATGTGGGTTAAAATATCTCCAAGTAAACACTTTTAATTCTACAGCCAGCATGGGATTTAATAATAAAATCATGCTACTGACATTAACAGTTCTTCAGCATTCCTTTGGGATCACATAAGCTATTACTATACATAAAGTTTAGGTAGGTAAGTTTGTGAGCTATGTTCCTGCTGAGATTAAAGTTATAGTCTATCTACTTATCAGCACTGGTGGTGTGGTAGATTTACTTTGTCTCTGTGAACTAGAGAATTGAAATGCGAGAAATAACCTACTTTACTTATTCCAGGTGCTTTTCTTCTAGTCAGTCCCTGAATCTGCGTTTCAATTTCAATTATATGTAATACAGAAACAGAAAGAGAGAGCTAAAAATGTCAAGGTCAATGTTAGATGTAGTGGTTAAAGTTGCAGCCTAGAATTTTCTTAAATGACATCTACATCTTGTGCAGCTATATACTATTCATATATTAGATTCAGAAGAGTTTGAAATAATTTTACAGATATGTAATCACAAGTCAACTAAGGAGAAGTGATTTTTATATATTTGCGGAAGGTTTCGATGGCAACAATATAGATAACATGCAGTTTTGTTTCATTTAGTTGTGTCCTTTTTAATTCAATTTTGTTTCTTCCTTGATTCAATAATATAGAAAACATTTCTCTAGGCTTAGTCTAAATATACTTAAGGGCTATGAATTTTAATTTCAAGAATAAATTGTTAATGTAATTATTAATTTGTATTGAATATTAACAACATAGATTAAATTAAGCTGCTATACAAGGTTATCTACTTCACATATCTTGTATTAGTTTATAATTGCTATTGTAATAAGTTACCTCTGTTTTAGCAATGGGAGTTTATTAGCCAAATCTATTGTGGGTCAGAAATTAAAAATGCATACTCTGGCTAAAATGAAGGTGTTAAGAGAACTACATTTTTTTTTTTTTTCTGGAGACTCTAGGAAAGAAATATTTGTCCTTGAACTCCCCAAATTCTAAAGGCTGTTCACATTCCTGTACTCATTAGTCTGTAGCACCGCAATGTTAGTGTTTGCCATCCATCTCTGTCTCTGATTCTGACCTTTCCTTGTCAGGATCCAGGGGAATACAATAGACCAACCCAGAAAACCCACAATAAACTCTGCACCTCCTATTCCTTAATTTAGTAACTTGTACAAGATCTCTTTTGCCATATTAGATAAAATATTTGCAAATTTGGTGAATTTGAGCATGGACAACTATGAGGAAAGGACATCGATCATTTGTTCTTCCCTTTAGCTCTAGGAAATAGCTGTGGAGAGACAGATTTCTTGGAGTTTAGAATATTCTACACAATTTGAGTAGCTCATAACCAAGGATAATTTAAGGGTTTGAAGCAAATCAAAAACATCACCCAGGGGACATTTTTGAAAAAACTGACAGATTGGATGGGAAAATAGATTAGGAAAATGAGAGTGCAGACAAATATTTCTGAGGAAGATTTTACTGAGCTCGACGGCTATCGGTATGTAGATAAGACAGAGAAGGAGAGAGTGAATGCCTATGGGTTTCTGGGTCACAGGGGGAAATGTGATGCTCTTAGTACAGAATAGGATGCGATTCTGTACAGAATACAGAAATAGTAAGTTGTGGTGTGTTACAGGTAACCACTTGGTGTTTGTGTCTATATAGGTTTTCATTGTTCAGAAAAACGAACTTTGTCATAGTATTTATATAAAAGAAAAAAGTAAAATTTCAAGAATATTACAATTAGAAAGTATTTTAATGAAATATTTTACTGATAATTTGAGATAAACAAACCAAAGGGCAGGATGAAAAAGATCTCACATAAACATCATGTCCAAGGGGACAGACAGTTTCCTCTAATAACTACAGAATTTTAAGCCTAAATTGTGGTCTCTCACTATCAAATTTAGAGTTCTAGGACACTAATTTCACATACACAGTTTGGTTTGGTTGAGTACTTCTATCCTCATCAAAAATTTCAGTTTGCATATTTTACTGAAGAAAGCAAATATTAAAATATTG